TTGCTGGTTCTTCTGGTAATCCCTTGAATTTGCCTATGTATGGCTTCTGCTCAAATTTGATACGGCCTACGATATAATGTAATCTGTTAAACCCTCATTAGAAAATATTACAGGCGCTCTTTGTTTGTCTTTTATTATAAATAGGCAAGCGACTGAAGTACAGTTGTACAGTTGAAATCCATGCTTCTCTGAAATAAAATAATTTGCCATTCATTCCGGTGTTTTTCAAAATGTTATGTAGGTTCCGTTTTCTGGTCTTTGTATACCGAGGATTCTTTAACTTCCCGTGATTTGCATTGGATCATTGTATCATCATGTAGCGATTAGTTGTCGTCTAGTCCGTTATTTTTTTCTCTCCATGAATTGTGATTGTTCGGTGCTCCGCTCGTTTGTGCTACATATCAGTAAGCTTACTGATATTCCAGTGAGTTCTAAACTTAGAACCTTTCTCGAACCCTTTTCGATGCTCCCACCTCATTTAGTAGCCTTCAGAGCTCTTTAATAGCTGACCGTTCTATACACGCTTCTATCACCGATAATGTTGTTGCAGTCTTTGTGGAAACGAAACTCACCAAAGACCCGTAGACTGTCTTCTTTAAAGCAACCCTTCACGAGGAACTCACAATCAGTCACGTGCTACGTCTCAAGTGTTTCATTGCATGTTCAATTTTCACTACTGGTACTATTCTTGCCTCTTTTCCACCTGGTCCCAAACAACAATATTTCATCAAATTTTCCAGGTCTACGATAATGATTTTCTTAGCATTATGGTGTTTAAAAAATGAGTGTGGATGAAAAATTGTACCGTGCAAACACTTGGATGCATGTGATGATGAAGTTATTGATTGAACAACTGCTGACGAATAATGTTCCATAACGAAATAATTGAATCTATATTTCATTCTCAAACACCTGACAAATTTTAACGTCTCACTGCACGAACCCTCACCCGAAGAAACAAATTAATCCCGATTCTTGGTTTGTTTACAAGGTCAATAGTCGGGAGCAGCCCATAATGTAGCCAGTTAGAACAAACTATACTGTCAAATTTATTTATGATTTCCATATTATTATATCTTTACTGGATAGAATGAAAAAAAACTCAAATATACTCCATCACTGCATAAGCTGCATTTCGATTCGATTCAAATTAGCCTCCATCAATCAATCAATCAATTAATCAATCACGTTGGTCTGATAGGACTGAAATGCCTCGTAAAACGTAGTCAGTATTTCTCCAATGTATAGCAAAACCTTTACAATGTCTGAGAAAAGGAAAGGTATGCACTTCAATAAATGACTGAATAGGAGATCACAAAATGTTTCATTCTTATTGTGGTGTCGAGGTTAATGTAATTTTTGTTTCTTTCTGCTCTCACTACGTGTTTTCAAATGCACAGAAAAACACTATGTTACGTGAGCACAGTTCATAAAACATTCAAGTAGTTGAAACCTTGGTTTTCAGGACAGGTTGAAGACTAATTCAAGTCGATCAAAAACGGGTAACAAGTGGCTTCTCAATGTGGCTCAGAGATTTGCCCTGTTTATCTTTCTGAAGACCCAAAGTTAGAGAGAAACTTCCCAAGATTTCACTATTTTGTTAATGAATTTTTATCTCTGTGCCAAGGAACACTTACAGATAAACAATGTCTTTTTGTTGTTGCTGGGATTTTTCAGAGCCCGTACGGCTAATGGGGGAAACAGGAATTGGTTTTCATAGAGGTAAGTACTTTGAGATCTTATTTCGGATCTCGTACAACGTTGGGAAATAAACAAGAAATACTGGTGGCCATAGGCCACCGATAAATTTCTCCTAAAAGGGAGAAAACATCGTGAATTCCGGTTGAAATAGATTTTTGGTGGGTGCAACGTTTAATTAGTCAACGTGGTGTTCCCATGCTTGTCACCCAGCGGACAAAGGCTTACAATAAGACTGAGTTGTATTGGTTGTACGCTGGGCTTGTTATAAGACTAGGGCGGGGGGTCTGTACTGGTTTCATTCTTTGGTTAAAACTATAGTTTTATACATTGTTTTGGGGACTCTGAAACAATTAGAAATAGTCTGATTTCACGACGATACGCTCCAGAATATAGCAGTTGTACTGATCCCCAGAAATGATGGTCTTTTTTCCTATAGTGCTGAGGACTGTACATTTAGGAATGTAGAAAGCGACAACCTAATCAGATACATACTGATGACTGGGCTGAGAGAACATGAAAATAATATGGAAAAATCATTTACATTATGGATGATGTAGGATTGAAACAAATCAGATCAAACGATTGTGTTGTTTTCAACTTACGAATTTCTCTAGCCGTTTTGCTCAGATAGGATTGAATAAACCAAACATGACTCGGTTGGTTGGCATAAAGTTTGTCCACATTTGGTGGCCGGAGTGGCTTGCACATGCTGGGACCGTTCAGACCGGACAGATTTGAGACTCCTGTCTTTCATAGTCTAATAAACGGTTCGAGTTGCAAGCCGACCAATCACACGAATCCGACCGTGTGGCATCGTCTAGCAACAGAATGACTGGAGTGGTTGATCAATGAACTGTTATCACTGGGCATTGTAAATTTCAATTTTCATACGTACACAGTTCTTTTGGACATATAAATATATGTATCTCAAAAAGGCCAGTAGTGTTATGCAAGATGTCTGCTGCAGCGACATTTCTTTCGCATATCATCAGTTAATTCATACGAATTAAAAATGCACCTATATATATGTTTATGGGGTATGGTCGTAAATAGATCCAAAGGCAAGATTCATGCAACTTGTTCACAATACAACGTAACTAGTTTACCAATAAATGTCTCTCTTAATCCGAATACGAATGGGTGGAAATGGTTAACAAATGGGTGAGGATTACGTATTAATATGTGTTTGCTAGAGTAGGTATTGGGCAAAGAGGGAAATTTAGAACGAGTGGACATGCTAAGGAAGTCAATAAACCAATTAAACGATACTGACAATTGCCAGAACAAACGTTGGAATTCATTATATAAATAAAAGTGTGAAACAAAGGAGGTAGAATATATTTGTATATATATTCTACTTCCCTTGTTTACATATATATATATATAAATATATATATGCATACGTGGTGGCTTTTGTAAAAAAGACGCAGTACACGGCTTTGGGTTGTAAATTGATTTTTGCAACGAGTAAGTGAGTATATTCCAGAGGCCATTAATCACTCTTTGCTGTGCATCAAACAGCTCATTGTTAGATAAAGTGTACGTGGTGGAAATTCCACTCCCCCCCCCACACACACATAAATACTTGGGTAAATAACATAAAATGAATGAAGGCGAAACATCAGACGATAAAACACCACGTGAGAATATCTGAGATATATCAGCAGGTACTGTACAATTTTGGAACCAAGGATGACGTGTAATGAATACAGTCGGCATAAAAGTTTGTTTTTAACGCTTCGCTTTTATTGTCACTATGGGATTTAATTAAATAAATACATCTACGCATAATCCAACATAAATTAACGACTAGGAAACCGAGAATTTGTGATTGTTCTCAAAACCTATATATGAATTCCAATGTATAAATATAATACATGACCAAAAGTATGGTTGTAATTTAAGCAAGGCGATTGATCGAATTAATTTGGAAAATAGAGGTAAAATAAAATCAGGAGGCCAGTGATTTGCAACAATACTGGAGCAGAGTTTGGAGCGTGGCAGATGGGTGTGAGATGAAACTCAGTAAATACCAGTTTAAAGAAAGCACACGTACTAGAAAGACTAGAATAGTTTTGGTGAGTTTAAACCCAGCTCAACGCTGTGGAATTTGACAAAACATTGCACTCTGATATTCAGAACGAATGTTTCCTTTCCGAATGAGCTCAGACGTATTCCGGGAGTCTTCCTGCCTCGGATTTTCCCATCCACTCTCTCTCTCCTTATTAAGATTTAAATCAGGAAGCATTTCTCTGAGAATTCTCATCCGCTTGCTCAGTGAGCACTTTCCCCCCCCTGCAGCCCCTAATCAGGGGTGAGTGTGTAATCTTTTGTGGCCAGGTTACTTTTAAAAATCTTTTATTTAATTTTTACTTCATTTTTATTGAATTAACAATAAAACAATTCTCGGGAAAATCAGGTGGTGGTGGGATTCGAACACACGTCCACCGAGGTGATAATTGGTGACATTACCCGCCGGTCATCACTGCCCAACTGGTGGGCGAAATATTTACAATCCTGCCATTGGAAGGTTCTAGGTTGAAATTAAACTAGATATGGAGCACTTTGTGGTTTTTTGAAATCAGCTCCGCGGAAAAATATACCCCCAACGGAAATTCCGAGTCTTGTTCAGATATTCAAATCTACTCTGTTTAAGTCCCCGTATACAATACTCGTTAGACTATTCACGAAATTATCGAGCAATCAGCAAAGTTGGTGACGAAATCCCAAATACTAAAACACTGCTACTAAGACTGAATGGCAAAAAAACATAACCGAACGGACTTTCACTATCGGTTTACGGACCAAGTGCTGTGTGCAGTCAAAAAGATAATCAAGATACCAAGTAGTCACCGATTTCAATTGGACACGTTTGTTCCCAACGTCACCACCTCTGTTCAGTCGTACCGGCTTGAGCAGCAAGTCAGCTAAACCAGCTAGTACAAGCAGAAATATAAATGCAACGGAGTAATTACGTAAGGCCACTCTTTATTGCACGTGAGATATTCCTGGCTTTTAGTAGTTTTTTAACTATCCATTTTGTGTCATTACGTGTGCATTTTTCAATCATACTTCTGGCTCGCATTCATAAATTTCATCATAATCATAACCAGAGAGTTTGTTCCTGGTCCAAAACAGAACTTTTATATGAAATAGGCAAACTAGAAAATTTGAAAAGATCGACATTAGAATAGGTACCTGTTTGTTCAGTAAAATGAAACACTAGGGCCAAAACACAAGACTTTATTGGTTCAATGAACTAGATTCTAAGTCACTGATATTTGATCACAAATGATACATCGCTTTCAAAAATACTATTGACGTCAATTCGGTTGATGTTGGACGATCCAACAGTTAACATGTTCCGACTGCCCACGATAGAAGATTAAAAACGTAATATTCTTGCCGCTTCCGAACCGATCGAGGGATCACATTGATAGTCAATTATCTGATGGATGACATTTTAAACCACTAATTTTGACACGTCTTTCATCCGTTAGGACAACCCTTAGTTTATCCGTCAACCTTACGTGAGTTTTTCTCGTTGACGCTCTCTAGTAGTGATTATGTACAGGTCTGCCTGTTTCTGGTGTTAAAGGTCTGTTTGGTATTGCTGTGCCAAAATAGCTTACATCAAACTTGACCGGAATTTCACAGTCCAGTGTGTCCGAAAGTCATCCACGAAGATAGCCAGTGATTTGTTGATCGAATACCTTCTGAAACAGACGCAGCATACATTCTATGAAGTGCAATACGAAAAATCCTACCATACTTGATGTTCGTTGCAGATGCAATTAGCTATTGTCAAATAAACCCTCTATGAAAGATTAAAAGCTTCCTCTGAATAGCAGTCAGTAAATTTGAGCTATTGTCAACAGTTCTCTCTGTAATACACTTTTCCTCCGGCTTTCTGGTTCCACAAAGTTATACGATTGTAAAAGATCACTGACTCTTAACAATTTGTGTTACCAATTCAAGTTAGATTGTTCCTCCCAGTATACTCACCTAATCGATCAACAGACGCTTGGCTTTTAGGATAGTGGTTTATTGAATGAGCGCATGGTAAAATCTATATAAATGTCTACTCAACGCAAAGTGCACATTACCTTGAAGGTATTAACATTGATGCAATCGATTACTTCTGACCTTAAACCTGGCATGATTTTTTTAAACTTTGAAGGCATAACCTCTCGTTTTTGAGCACGAGAAACCTGACTCTTTTAAAAGTCTCTATCAGATCTCCCTCACCCGCCTACGCTCCAGCGAGGAGAGATGAAAATCTCTTAACCGCTGCTCATAACCTTTCTTCTTTTTTCCAGCTGCCATCTGGGTAGCTAGAAGTTTCACTCTTTCGAAACTTATTACATCCCTCCTGTAATAAGGCACCCGTGGCTGCACACAATACTCTAAGTGTAGGAGAACAATTCCTTTTTTACAAAGGGACAAAACCTCAACCCTTTTGCATGTTACTAGCACATAGCTGAAGTAGGTGCCCTCTTCCTTGATTGGCAGCCTTGGAGCACTGCGTGGTGGTGGGTTTAAAGTTCTAGTTCATATGGACCCCTAGATCCTTCATCTGCAAGAGCTGTTGCATTGATGATCTAAAGGTGATGACCAAACTCGTGCAACATCACCCTCATTTTGAAAATCCATTTCAGCTTGCAATAGCATCGTTATACATAGATGGCTATGAGTAAACTGTATTTATTCCCGACTTTATATACAACATAGGTGTTCTTTGTTCATTGTTATCACCATTTAAGTGTGCGCGACCTTGAGTGTCTCTATAAAATTTGCGGTAGTTTGAAAGTTACAGCTTTGATTTAGAAAATATTTTTGGCAAAGCAGCATGGGAGCTCATTCTTTTTAATAGATGATTCCTATCCCATGAGAGTTTATATTAGGTTTATCACACGTATTCTAAATTTCTATTCTCTTTTCATTTCGGTTAGACCAAAATAAATATTATTTTTTCACGTTTATGCAGTTTCTAGACGGGTCAGGTTCAATGTCAAATTCGTTTTATTAAGGTGCAGCAACTGGGATTTTATTTTATTTGGAAACTTATCTCAATCAGAAACAGGGATAAGTCAGCTACCTTGCCACAGGTCGCCGGTGTTAAGGGTGCGCGGTGTATTAGAGGAAACTTGCAAATTCTGTTTGGCAGTCAACTTGGTGGATTCCATCCTAAAGCGACTGCCTCCAGTGCACAGAAATGAAGAGGAGCAAATGGAACATCGATGAGATGAAAGTGCAATACCCGTATAAAGTCTATGAGCCATTTTAATAAATAAATTACAGTTACGCTTTCTACTGTGACCTTGTTATCTTACGACTGACGCATTAGCAAAAATCGTTGAAATCGAGAAATTGTACATTTTAATGGCATATGGCTAACAGAAGCAGTGACATAAGTGGGTATTATATCAGATATGTTGCGTCTGATGTGGGGCAATATTATATTCAATCCCGTGAATGAGGCTGGAAAAGCGAAGCATTAAGAGGAACAAATGATGAAAATCAGGATGTTGCACGAGTTTGGTAAATACCTGTATTTAGCGAATATGCACTAGCTTTCCTTGAAAAAATCCGGCATTTGCCTAAATTCAAAGGTAGGTTCTATTGTACTAACCATAAATGGATTACCTCTAGATTTTTTGCAGGTTCAATCCTGTCATTTTGACACCAGCAGCTAACAAGAAACACGG